TGTATATCCAATACAGGCCAACTTGGAATCTGGATATAACTACGGATATCTCCCTTTGCCACCTTTGGCACCGTATGGCACTGCTACAGCCAAAAGGCCAGAGATAAGCAGTCCCTTTCCAACTGGTTTGCATATTGCCCTGCAACACACTCAAGATCCTTGCAAAACTGAACCTCACCAAGAACCATGTGTGCCGAGTGAGATTCTCTCCAATCTTAGACACAGTTCTTACCTAGTGCCACACTACTCACTGGGCCTTCTGCCACATACATTACCATTCTACAGTGAAAGACTAAAACCACACTTGACAAATTCATCAGATTTCATGCCTTTCAACAGCTATGCACACATCCTACATCCTTCAGGTAGTGGATCCAAAAACTTATCACTTGCATCATCAAATTGCAAACAGGAACTCATTCTTTCACAAAGTAGTGAGCACAAAGGTAACAATGACCTCTACTCAAAAAAGGCAAACTACCTCAAGAAAACTTCCAGTGACCTCAGTGATGTCAAACACTCTGCTTGCACAAACGTCTACACAGACCTCAGTGTGTCTAGTAAGGCCAGCTCTTCTCCCGTTGACTTTAAACTCTGTAAAGAAAATCCTTTTGCACCTCGGGAATGTTCACCCCCTGTTGGTACTGCTGCCTCCTCAAACTACCTTCCTTCCAGACCTACCTCTGCCAATCAGGGCAATACTGAAGATGCATTGGATCTTAGACGGCAAAAGAAAGAAGGGTCAATCATTGGCTACAAGACCCTTTCTTACCCACTTAAAAGGCAAAATGGAAAAATTCGTTATGAATGCAACATCTGTGGAAAGGTCTTCGGGCAGCTGTCCAATCTCAAGGTAAGTACCCTTCATCTTCCTAGAAACATAATTGATTGACCGAAGTGTGTTTTTGACCGAAGATACAATCTGAAACTATAAATATCGATCTCACCTACTTTTTTCAGGTTCATCTAAGAGTTCACAATGGGGAGCGTCCGTTTAAGTGTCAGACCTGTAACAAGAACTTTACTCAGCTGGCACACTTGCAAAAACATTACCTAGTTCACACAGGAGAGAAGCCTCATGAGTGCAAGGTAAGAGAATAACCTAGAAAGTATAAAGTTTAAGTTCTGATTGATAGAGCTAAGGGTTTTTGCTATAATGCTAACTGACCAAGGACTACATTTACTAAAATTACAATGCTTTGTTTTCAGGTGTGCCATAAGCGATTTAGCAGCACTAGCAACCTTAAGACCCACCAACGGTTGCACTCAGGTGAGAGGCCTTACCAGTGCAAGCTCTGCCCAGCCCGATTTACTCAATATATCCACCTCAAACTTCACAAACGGTTGCACACAGGGGAAGGGACCCACCAATGTCCTCGCTGCCCCTCTACTTATCTTCACCACTGCAGCCTACAGGTCCACCTCCAAGGCTTCTGCCCCCTGTCCCCCTCAGCATCCCGTAGGCTGTCACCTGAGGAGCTACAACGAGTCAACTCTGAGATAGAGAGGTTCGACATGAGTGAGGCAGCAGAGCAGCTCGATGTTATGGCCACTGACACAGAAACAAACAAAGGGAATGTCATTGACCTCATACAAAAGATAGAAAATAACATCTTAAGCTTCCAGGATGCTGTCAAAGTGAAGACTGAGCTGAACATCGGCAACGGAGTGTACCAGTGCTCAGATGCGCTGTCTCAGTCACATAGTTTTATGACCGACAAGCGTGAAGCTGGAGCAAGGATGCATTTCAGAGAGTGACCTACTAATCCAACCAAATAATCATTAGAACCCAGCTCAGCAGCTGTCTGTTACTGTTTGAAGTAAAGCCTTTTCTAAATCACACATTGCCTATTAAGTCTACAAAGATTTGAGTGCATGGCTAGTCTAAACATTGCCAAAATGACCAAATACTTCAGTGATTTATTTTCCTTATGTGTGTATAATTTATTATTTTACCAATTTGAAACTAATATGTATCAAAGTGGATACTTGCTATATTTTGTTGAATATTTTTAAACATTTGCATACAGTAATAAATTATTGCCTAAACCTACCTTCATTTGTAGCTTCACTGAGTAAGATTGAGTGTTCCTGTTTGTTCGCACATGCTGGTATTATTTGTTGCACGATTAAACTGAAAATGACTGTATAAGCATGACTCTGTATAGTTTCAGTGAGCTAAGTGCTGAAATGACGACACAGAGGAAACCTCAATTGTTCTTGCATGGTATACATGCTTGCATTTGTGTGAGTGTACTCGGCTGATGTGGGGAGTCAGACAGAGGTAAACATCCTGTTATGTGTCTCTGGATATTAACCAGTAAGTATCACCTCAGTAGTCTGAAAAAAAAAACTTGAAGTTATATACCATAACTTTAATAATTAACAGATGTTTTACCCAAAAGATGGACCGTTAAACAACATTCATACCTTATACAATCTCTAAGCAGAGAGTCAGTCTTTCAGAATAAGTTAATTTAACCTACATTTCGAAAACTACATTATGCAATAGATTTCTGGAATATGTCCAAATTTATTAGCACTATAGTGTTGTGTAGTGTAAGTGTTTATTTTATATTGATATTGCCTTTATGTTCATTTCTGTTATATGCACCATTACTTATAAAGCTGTCAAATTAAGAAACGCATTAATGTACAGTATGTGTGCAAGAAAAAGTTTTAAAACTAGAATTGTGTTTTTGGGGCCAAGAAAGTGTAAACCAAAAACAATATAGAGAGGATTACTTCAAAAGGTCATAAGGCTTATTAAGTTATTTATGCTTGTTTTTAACACATAGTTGAAATGTCATGCATTTTAGGCATAGTTCAGAGATTTAAAGTTCAAAGAAGGCCGAGGTACTCCAAAAGCTTCCTATCAGTATTCTTTATCTTGTCCAAAACCAATTTTATTTATGCTTAAAATGATGCTTCTAGAATACACTACTGTGTGCTATCTATTTAACTAATATAGTCCTTGATTTTAGATTAATTTAATGAGTTCAGAGGCAAACGATTGTTTAATTATGGTTCATTTTTTGCCTTTACCACAGCTGGAAGCAAAATAGCTTCACGTTGATGATTGACATTTCATAATGACAGCTGGCATAGTACATGACTATATTTATAAATAACAAGGGTTGGAAATACATTTGGCCACTCTCATAAATATAAAGGAAAACATTATTTAGCAGAACAAGAAGCCTTCTCTTATTGTTTGTTATTGTTTGCAAATTTTTGTGTGAACTGTTGCCGCCTTAGATGGTGGGTCAATTAGGGTCAACATGGGAACCACCACTGGTATGTGGCTAAAAGTGGTGTGACCTAGCCTAGTAAGCTAGCCCCACCCGCCAGCGACCAAAATCATTTTTGCCTGCGAGTTGGTCTAGCCTTGATCAATGCCCCAGGCCCTAGAACTGGCGGGCCAATCACAAGGCAAAGATGTGTTTTGAATTTCTGGATGCAAAGTGGGCGGGGTTTTGAGGGCGTGACGACAAAGCTGCACGACGCTCGAGAAAGCACAACAAGGAAGATGGCAACAACTATTGAACAGTTCTCGTTTGACTCAGCTTTGGAATCAGTTTTGGAAGGATTAGAGTCGGGGTTTTCGTTGAAACATGAGCAGGAAGAGGCTCTACGCTCATTCATTTTTAAGAAGGACGTATTCGCCGTTTTACCCACAGGCGGTTTGCTTACTGTACACTCCACCGCCAGCTTTCTGTCGCACTTACTACGTCACGGTCAGTTGCGCTCATTGGTCAGAGGGTTGCTATTTTGCAAATACAACTATTCTCAGGACCAGTGGTGTCAAAAGGACACACATTTGTTACTTAAGTAGAAGTATAAATATTGCAGTTTAAAAAACCTCTGATAAAAGTTGAAGTATCAACTTGACCTCTTTACTTGAGTAAAAGTGAAAAAGTATGGGCATAGAAAAACACTTAAAGTATAAAAGTATAAAGTAACCTTTAAAAAAAAACAGCCAGACGCCACTAAATGAATTTTAAAGCTTAATTTTTTTTAAACTATTTCGAAAAATTCTTTGAGATAGGGCCAAGGACGAGGGAGGTCCTGTTGGTCTCCATCTCCCGATACACTCTCATTTCAGACATTTCAACATCTTTTTCTGAATCCGACATTGTAGCATGGCATAGACAATTGGCATTTGCAGCTTGATGAACAACTGCTTGTTTTTTTTTTTATTATTTCATTTAGCTAACCAATGAGTGTTTGCATTATATGACTCATCCAATTACACTAGTTTTCGCTAGATGTGGATGGCGCCAATGATCTGCATTGGATGGCGCACATGACTTAAAATAAATATTAATAAACATTAAACCGGAGCCAAGAGTAACAAGTAACGCTTGTTTTAAAAATGTAGGGAATAGAAAGTACAGATACTGTGTGACAATGTAATCAGAAGAAGTCAGAAGTAGGAAGTAATAAGTAATGTAGTAAAGTATAGATACCTAAAAAGTGTACTTAAGTACACTTGACATCTCTGCTGAGGAAAAATTTTCACAAATTTCCTCTTGCTGACTGATATCCCACATTGTCACAGACTATGAAGATATGATATATAGTATATGATATACTTTTTTTCTCAGAATTCTGACTTTAATCTCAGAATTCTGACTTTAATCTCAGAATCTTGGATCTTAATGTAGATGGGCCCTATGGAGGAAGAGATGTGGGAGCACTCAGCTGAGTTGTTTGAGAGGGCCAGTAACACATTGGTGGAAAATGACGGAATTAGGTGACTTTTTACGTGCCCTATTTCATTTTGATACTATTTTTTTCTCATATTATACTATGATAAAATTCAAAAATCAGTTAAGTTTTAAAAAAAAAAATCTGTGGCCCTAATCCTCTTCCATATATAACTGATGTAATGGGTTGGATTAATTAAACGATACAACGGCCTTCCATAAACACTGTATAGTTAGTGGGTCGGTAACTGATGTCCCTTTAAAGCGGCATTTGACGTCATGTATTTTGACAGTGGGTGGGAGGCAGCGGGAGAAGAAGAAGGGGAGCAGATGAACCCGGAGACAGGGATGTCCAGAATCATGTCCCCGGCTCTTTCTTGCTCCATAACCGTAACATGATACCCGCTGCTCCCGGAGCGCTTGCCCGAAGGATGCCGACCGCGGCCAGGCGGAGCGGCTGCTGGATAGCATGGTGCCAGGCGGTGCTGCTCGGTGTGTCGGCGCTGGTTATCATAGCCGAGCGGAGCGCACGTAAGTGGGCAGCTAGCCTTGGATGGCGCTCTGTGTTGGGTTTTCTGTTTAAGAAACAAAAAAACCACAGTAATATCATTCATTTTTGGTGCGCCATGGTGGTTTCAGGTACATTCTTTTTGTGGGAAAAATGGCGTTCAGCTCCTGTCACGGAGCTTTGAATGCAGGTGGGAACACAATTAAAAGCTATAACGGCTGATACTAGCCTTAACAGAAAGCCTGGGCTTTGTTTATCTCACTGGACACACGGTTAGACACCTAGGTTCACATACTCTTTCCACTCACAATAAATAACATCAGTAAAAAAATAATATTTTTATTATTAAAATGTATAGCAAATATATTATATACACATTAGACAGATTTAAGCTCTGATGCAGTTCTCATCCTACCTGTAATCTGGCAGCTCTCCCTGAAAACAGGATCAATGAGCCAAGGTCAGGATACCAGAAATATGACTGGATCTGTACAAAGTGTCACTTAGTGTTCTGCAGGTATACCTTTCCATAAAGATTTCCATACTGCCATATTGCTCAGACTATTTTTTTTCTTTTTGCAACACCCATTTATTAAAATAATTATTTAAAGTTAATATCAAAAACAGGAGTCAGATAGTATGATTATACTTTAGTAACATCGGTTTACCCGATATGCAAACAGCAATGCATCCTAACACGTCCAATGCTTTAGTTCAATCATATAGACAGATTAAAACCCAGTTCCTGTCAAATTTAGTTTAATATGCAACTTGGGAAAAAAAAAGTTTTAAGTGCAGAAATCTTTTTGCTGAACAAGCATGCTTCATTCTTCTTGCATAATGTACCTTGCTTGACTCTGGCATTCTGTAATTTGCATTAACTCTTAAAATAATTGCACAATCCTGCATCCAGCTTGTCTTTCGTCTTTGTGCATGCATCAGTGATCTACTGTATTGGATTCTACCTTTGGAATGAGGAGACTCAATGGGCGGGCCTCACACTCGGCCTCTTCCTTCCTGGGACTGCTGTTCAGCTGCTAAGTGTGAAGTGGTACTATGATGATGGGGATGAACGGCGGTGCTATCTCTCTGTTATACACATACTACACTTGGGCATCTTTAAAAGGTATCATCTTTGCAACTTCAGCATAAGATTTATATATATATATATATATATATATATATATATATATATATATATATATATATATATATATATATATATATATATATATATATATATATGGAATAAATCAAAGTATGATTGGATGTTGTATGCCAAAATGCTGTACAATATGACTGCCTGCCAGATTGTTGTCAAGAAGCACAATATTCACATCATTGGGGTCATTGAGAAGGTTGTCCCTATTCAGGTGTTTGTCTCTAACTCCCTCTCCTGGCAGGTTATGGGACTGCATGAGGTCTGTGCTGCGCATGCAGGGCTCAGTTGCTGAACTCGGTGCTGCTGTCATGCAGCAGGCAGATGTTGCTGCTCTTTGGCTGCTGGAAGCACTTGTCCTTACACTGCCTCAGAGCCTGCTGCAGGCATATGTCGTTGTGTCTACAGATGTGGGGATAATGTCACCAGGTATACTGATCTTTAAGTGAATTAATGACTAACTGTTCCGTTGGAGGCATGGTTTTAATGTTAAATTATTTGCTTCTGTTAACACACAGTGGCATATTGCTGTGGCTTATGCGTGCTGTCCATTTCCTGGGCCCTGGTTTTGTACAGTCGAGCCTGCTGCCTGATAAGACCAGGCCATTTGGCTATGCCTCCAGCAGCCCTGCTGTGCCAGCTGGTCTGGAGAGCAGGCATGTTGGGTGCCAGAGTGACCTGCCTCATGTTTTTTGCCAGGGTATTCAACTGGTGGGTCTGTGGGGTAGCAGGTGAGCACAAAGAGGGAAGTTTTTCTAATGCAACTCTATTACACTGAAAAACACAAACCTTTTTTATATTATTGACAAAATTTGCTGTGTGTATTTTATGTTTTTCCTAATCTGTAGGTTTTCACTGGCTCACAGCCTCCTTCTGGCTAGTATCACAGCAACCGGACATTTGCACTGGCCACTGGTGTTGGCGTGCCTTTAATGGCGTTGTGGGCCTCATCCACGTCTTCCTCTTCCTCAACGTCAAAGACGGACCCTCCCGCTTTCGCATGGCTAGCTTCTATGCAGTAAGAAATCACTCATATTAGAGAAAACTGCTTCATGCGCTGCAAATGACTGTGTCTGGCCATCAAGCCCGGCAAGCTTCAAGGACATATATGTATATATATATAACGAAAAATTTGCACATCACCTCACCTCTGTGTCCCCAGCTTGCAGTGACAGCTTGAGTGATGGTGTGACCTTACTCTCCTCCTTTCTAGTTCATGCTTGTAGAGAATGTCACTCTACTGCTGGCCGCCTCCGACTTCCTGAGCGAAGCATCGTGGGATAGCATGACCCTCCCCACCTCTGTGCTGTTCAGCTTTTTTCTTGGTGAGTCATTTTGTCTGCAGCATCTTCACAGAAGAAGAAACTAGCCAGGTTATATTAACATTTAATGATAATGATTCAAAATAACATTAATAGAGGATAGCTTCCTGTATTGTTGCCAAAGTAGCAAATAAATAATCTATAATTTGTGAAAATGTTACAATTATATATGCCATTTTATCTTAACTATGTAACACTGGAGCCGGTGTAATGGTGTGGTCAGACCTATAGTTTTACCCTCTCATTGACGCTGTTGCCTTCAGCATAGAGGGTACTTTCTGCTGCATTTCAAGAAGGAAAACCTTTAACCAGGGCTGATGGTCAACTTCTACACTGCTTTTATTAAGTCTCTCCCATGCAGATCCATGTCTAAACAGATGCTTGAATTCTTATTCAAAAAGAAGAAATATGGGGGTCTCTTAGAAAAATGTAGAAATTGGCAACAGCTGGTCCTTCAGCCAAAAGGTGATTGGAAACATCGAGCTAAACCTCAAATCACTTAGCAGGCTCTGAATCAATCTGTATTAAATCGTGGTGAAATTAAAGGTTCCTTTTTACAATTTATTTACAATAAGGTATGTTATTGTAATAAAGAATTAGTTATTTTTTTTACGTATTTACTGTTCAATATAGGTTTGTGTGAGTTGGATTGCGCTGTATTTGAACTATTGCATTACACAGGAAGAAAAGAGGAACTTAACAGTTTTTTTCCCCCTCTTGCCTTGGTATCTAAGGAGCCACTTCTTTGCTTCTTTACTACCGGTTCCTCCATCCCAAGTCCACAGAGATCTGCCAAGGTACAAACCGACACCAGATGGGCAGCACATGCATAGAACAAGGCGAGTCGTCTTTCTCCCTTGGAGACAAAAGTCTGCCAGCATCTTCTGTCCAGAATCACGGCAGTTTCTCCCTGTCTGGGGTGGCGGGGTCTCTCCTGGAGCACCCAGGAAACTGTCAAGGCCAAAGCTCCTGCCCTTGCTTCCACCACCACTGGCTCTTGATCCGCCTAGCCCTAAAGACAGGAGATCTATGTAAAATCAACAGGGCATATGGTGCTGGTGGACCAGCGGCAATTCTAGACATGGAGGAGTATAACCAAGAGTTTAAAAGTAATGAGGGCATCACCTTTACAGCTGGAGGCAGTTGTGAGGGCGTGTCCACCTCTGAGTCCCAGGGAAAAGGCCTTGCACCGCTCTCAGACTGCAAAGATGAGTTCCAGAGCTTGAGCGAGCCCACATCGACTGAACAACCTGAGGAAGAGGATGACAGTCTGGAAATGGAGAGCCCCATGGAGTCACCTGAGTCAGATTTCAAGCGCAGCTCCCCAGAGGGTAAGTCTGTTTTTGGAGACAGCCCAGAGCCTTACTACTGCCCCACAGAATCAAGCTCCACCTTATACTTCAGTGCCGACCCCCAATCCCCCAGCAGCGCTAGTAACCCCCGTTTGGACCGGGACATTGGGAGTCTGGAACAGGGGGTCCGCCTTAGCTCCATCCCCAGCGATCCGGCCCTGCACAGAGATGTGCGGGGACTCATGGGCCGCGTCGGGCCACGCTGCACTTCCACTCCTAAACTGGACTGTGGGGTGTCGGATTCTCCTCCCAGCGTGCCCCGTCTCACAGGTCCAAGAAGGCAGCTCATATTGTCCCGAAGAGATGAAGAGAATACCTTCTAGCTGTATTGTGGTGCAATCAGGGAACAACTTAACAACAGCAGCTTATCCGACATTAATGGAGCACACCAGCTTTATTATTTTTCGGTGTTGTAGGAGGAAAGCTGTTATTTCACATCTTTATCAGATTATCGGATATATACAACACTACATGTAATTAGGAAAAATATAAATAGCATCTATTATTCTTATAACATGAAACATTCTTAATGTTTGCTATCAAATGTTGGAAAGACTGAAACTATCTTAAAGTGAAACTCACCATAATGTAAAGGCATCACCCCGACCCCAGACAAATTTTGAAAAAGAGAATCTGAGTGGCAGGGCTAAGTGTGGAAATGAGTGCTGGGGCGTAACATAGACAGTGAGCAGATTAATGCTGGGAGATATGGCACAGATGGATGTGAGGCAGTGGACCAGAGTCTTATCACTTTGAGCTGATTGCTTTAAGGCAGAGTCCTGCATGGGTCTGATTTTTTTAAAAATTGTATCCACCTGCACCTGTAGAGTTCAGAACTGAGACCTGACCCATTACTAGTGTTGCGCGGTTGCCATTTTTTGCCCCCGAAACCGATACCCCATACCTGGCTGTTCAGTATTGGCTGATACCCATACCATACTGATACCATCTGTGTGAAATTTATGTGTGTGTATATTTGAAGAACTGCATACTACTTTGATGTAAAATAATTGCCATCATGGCTTTTTCAAGCTGCTGCCTTCCTTTATGAAGGTCGAAAAAGACTAATACAAAGTGAATCCAGTAGAACTTTTTATTGCCTACCTGCAATGGGTGACAATAGTTGAATAAACTTTTGGCTCTCAAAATGGTATCGATGCCCTATTAGTTGGTACTCGCCGATAGCGATGGCACCATTTTGGTGCTGGATAGGGGCCCCGCCTGATAACGGTATCGGTGCAACACTACCCATTACCCGTAATTATCCTCATTTAAAACTTGGCCGGGACGGCTCGGAACCATTAATAATAAAGTGCGACCCGACCCGTGATCATAAAGTGTAAACACAGCCGCTTCAGCCACTTTGGATGTTATCATCCCATTAAATGGCCGTAATTAGCAGTTATCAGTCCCAGAATGGCTTCAGAAAATCTTTAAAACAGCTTTTTTTGAAAGAAGGTATGCTGTAAATAAAGTAGACAAAAAGTACTAAGTAGGTAAATACATTTTCGTGAATTTTTTAAAAGAAATGCCCTCGGTCGGCATCCTTCGGGCAATGTTCCTTTCTTTTTTAAAAAAAGAAAGGAACATTCACAACCCTGTACCCGCTCCCTAGAGGGAATTCCTACAAACACGTGGAAGAGCATGCACGAGCCAATTTCTCTTTTAGGAGGTGTGGGGAGGAACACAATGATAAGACTGTCACTTGGATGGATCTCATCTCTCCCATATTTACATAAAAAAAAGTTTCCCCGAAAATAAAACTATTGGTGCATTAAGAAAAATCATGCTTGTACATGTGTACGTGCTACAGTGGAAATTTGGACGTGTTTGTGGGGTAAATAAGGATTGATGGCCATCGTATAACTACAACAATGTGACTTACAAAATGAATAAACTTATCTTCTGTGCAAACTTACAATATAGAGATAAATAACTTTTACTAGCAGTGATGTGAAATAGATTTCTCCAAATAGCATGCCAAATTTTCCCTGTCAAGTAGAAACTTAGCAGCGGAGGCATCAGTGGGAGCCCGACCTTCAGCGTACGCCATCGTGTGAAAGAATCTCCCAAAACCAATCTGGTCTTGTTTCTCTTTTCTGAGGCCTTTCTCTTCTTCTCATACACTTTCTCTTACGACCTTCGGCCATTTTCAAAGAACCACGGTGAGAAAGGCGAGCTTCAATGAATGTCTAAAACCGTAGCTCACCAAAAATATACTCATAAAAAGATAGGAACTTAGGGACGAGCATGTAGTACAGCCTTACAAACACATATCACCAGTATGATTGGTAATTAGGAGGACCTCTTATTTTGATGATCCACCCAGAAATAAAAAATCCTCCACTATACCTTTAAGGTTTCAGACACGGCGGATATCAGCGGCTTCAGACAGCTGCTGATATCAAAGATAAGCTGCATATTATCAGCCATAAGAATCCTACTAGAAGGTAGAGGAGGGACAGCCTGGAGCCATTAAATGCGACTCATAACCGCTAATAACGGCCATTTAATGGTTGATCACATTTGAAACGGGGCTGTTTATAATAACCGAAGCAGAGAAGAGGCAGTGTGCTCTGCGCCCACAGATTAACAGCTGTAAATTGGCCGAAGTAAGAAGGTTTGCCTTGTTGCTTAAAAAAATATGTTATCTGGATATTCTTAAATCATTTTTTTTTTAAGATATAGAGTTAATAATTAAGAAAATTTGAGTAAGTTTCATTCATACTGTAACTCTATGATACCCACATTTTGTTTATATATACCCATGCCCGCACCTGTAAGATAATATGGGCTTTATTCTACTTGTAGATGTAAGTTTTATACGGGTACCTGCTGAGTACTCGACCCGGTTCAGGACTCTGCTTCAAGGTGCTGACTCAGCGATACCCAAAGCCGGTGCTGCTAATGCAGTGGACAATAGGATTTCTGAGTCAGCTGGCTTTATACCCAAACACAGAACTATGGTCCCGAATTCCTGTCACTGCGACAAGGGTGTGTACCAGCATATACCATTTGGACCAATAGGGAAATTCAACTGCAGTAACCAGCATACAACCACTTTGACAGCAATGGAGTTGAAATCTCACATGAAAATGTACAGAAAATGAACTATAGCATTGAAATAGCACCCCACGAGCCTAGTTTATACAGCTTAAATGCAAAAAAAAAAGGATTCTGGGGTGAGTTACACCTTTTTAAAAGGAAAACTTGAAAAGAAAAAATAGATGTTCCACTAACAGGGATGATGCATAAGCACACCTCGTGCCCCACTTTCAAGAAGTATTTATGCTAATTTTTGGCAGCTATATTATAGTATTAACTTTGGAATTATACTGTGCATAAAAACAAAAGCAGCATCTTTACGACTGTGATTACTTAGCTGGGAATTGCAGTGCCTTGTCAAAGTACGCATACCCCTTGATATTTTCTACATTTTTTCAGGTTACTTTACTAAACCCTGGAATGGTATTATAATTTTAGATAATTATACGGATTTGTATAATCAAAGAAAGCTATTGATAGTTAAAATCAGAAATGTGACTTGCATTTAGAGTGTTTTCTTTCTTGTGTATTTTTCTCAAGCTCAGTCATATTGAACAGGAAACATCTGTACATATCAGTTTTTAAGCTTTGCTACAGATTCTCAACCAGTGAAGATTTAAACTTTGATTGGACCATTCTAACCTATAAAGGTACTTAGATCTACACAGTCTAACATGTAAGATTAGGGTTATTTACCTGCTTAAAGGTGATCCCACATATTACTCAGTAGTCTTTTGTGGCTTCTACAAGGTTTTCTTTCAGGAATTTCCCTTATATACTCCCTTGATAAGCCCATCACCTCTGACCAGCTTCTCTTTTCTTACCAAAGTAAGGAATCTCGACAGCAAGATGCAGGTTTCACATGTAAACAGGTTCAGTGGTAATTTTCTGTTGCCTTTCCATGTTGGTCAAAAAGTTACCTTTTCTTTGCCTGACAACAGATAATCTCATGATAAACTGCAAAAGAAACTTCTTTTGACCTTTTCAACTACAGGTTTCTTCAGGCAACTGTAACAGACACCATTTATCTTGTGCTGGAACTAAAGTCATTCTGTCAGTTTGGGTGGATCACTTCGAAACCTTTGAAACTGTCCTTAACTTGGATTGTATATGTGTTGTATATGTTCTCCAACAAGTCACTGCTCAGAGAACAGCTGTGTTTATACAGGGATGAAATGACAAACAGATCAACTACACATATGCTAATTAGGTGCCTTTTGAAGGAATTTTGGCTTACTAGAGTTTGGCTCATTCCGAATACAGCAAATCGGAGCTCCAAGCTCCCTACCTAGCTATTATTATCACCTATTTCTCTATCATGGGTAGGAAAGGATTCATTAAACTTGCAATTCATTACGAAAAGGAAATACATGGATGAAGCTAGTAAAATCTGAGACTTCAACCTTTCAGAAAAAAGAAATACAAAAATTCAAGTTATACAAATGTAGCAAATAATTAAAGCTCTACAAAATACAAACCATAATGTATGGAGCTGTGTACATTTGCATGTCATACACCCTCATTACACATGAAGAAAGTGTGGTTTTATGTCTTGTCACCCAAAGAATTGTGGGATTCGTTATAGCTGCTTACTGCCTAGATAGGAAGCATTTTTCTTATCTACTTCTGTTTTGCCAGCACTCTTCACCCAGCACTTATCATGGCAACTGCTTTGGCTAAAGGGTCCTTACTGATTTACTGTATCCAGGCTGGGTCTTTGTGGTATTTGGAATATAGGGAGATTAAAGAAGACATTAAATAAAAACTTGTTAAAGCTTTCTCTTTCACTTAACTATTATGGCCAAAATTGTGGGTGCCTTCGCTTACTAAAAGAAAAATCCACGATTGTAACAAAAATCACTCTGATTGAAGTTCAGACATTGCTTTTTAATAATAGTTCAACACATAGTTTTAAAATAAAGAAACTAATGAAACAGGACCTGACAAAAATATCTTAATATCTTGTTGCTCAACTTTTTGAGGATATCACTCCAATTAAACAATTCCTGTAACTCTAAATGAGACTTCTGTACATCTCAGCAGATATTTTGGCCCGCTCCTTATGCTCATTAGTATTTAGGTCAGGGCTTATAGATAGCCACTTCAGAATTGTCTAATGTTTCCTGTTGCAAGACCCATGACCTGTGACTTGACTTTCTGAAACTTTCTGGCACATTTCCCTCAAGAATCCCTTGATATTCTTGAGATTTCATTGCACCCTGCAGAGATTCAGACACTCTGTGCCAGAGGAAGCAAAGCAGCCCCAGACCATAACAGAGCTTCCTCCATGTTTCAGAACTCTTTTCTTGTTTTGCTTAATTTTTCCATCTGTGTAAATAGAGCTGATGAACCTGGCATTAACCAGATTGATGCATGTAGCTTAATTTGAATTCTACACAGTATTAAGTTAGAAAGGCTCCCATGGAAGGTGTTCACAAAAGGGAGGGACATGCAGTACATTTTTTCAAGCTGATTGGGTAAATCACGACCTGGCTCCTGCCCCATGTTGAGCTTTTAGCCAATCGCTGCAGCAGTAGCAGCTGTGGCGTGTCATATCTTGAGTTGTTTGACAACTTGCAAATTTAATAATACATCAAACCCCTAGCAAATCAGATTGGGAGGAATATGGAAACACCTTTCCAATCCACAAAGGCACAAATCATGTCCTTTTGATCGTAAAAAAAAAAAAAAAAAAAAGAAGAAATAGAGGGTATTCTAGCTAAAACAGACTAAATAGCGGAGTCTACAAGTACGTCAGCCGGTGCAGCCATGTATGTTTTGCTTTAGCCTGCAGCTTCTGGTTGACGCCATACACATCACTGCATTTCATTGCTTACAAATACTTCTCTATTTTGTTTGCGAGGCAGTTTGTGAATTTGCAAACCAGCAACGATTCATATTGCTTGGAAGGTAAAGAGCTGATGTGCCTTGGCAAAAAGTTAAATTTTTGTCTCATCTGTCTACAGGACATATCCCCCAGAAGCTCTGTGGCCTGTTTGGCAAATTCCAGTCTGCCATTTTTATGATTCGTTACCATCAATGGTGTCCTTCTTGGTCATCTTCCATTAAGTCTATTTTGGCCCAAACCATGATGGATGGTGCAATCTGACACTAATGTTCCTTGAGCTTGAAGTTCACCTCTAATCTCTTTAGAAGTTTTTCTTGGCTCTTTTGTTACCATTTGAATTATCTGTCTCTCTCTGATCTGTCATCAGTTTTCCTTCAAGGGAGGTCGGCTACAGTCACATGGAACTTCAATTTCTGAATAATATGTGCAACTGTAATCATAGGAACATCAAGCCGGCTGCTTGGAGATGGTCTTTTAGGCTTTACCTTTAACACGCTTGTCTAGGTTTTTCCTTTCAAACCTCCTGAGATGCTTTCTTTTACTTCCTTCAGTCAATGTTAAGTATGATATCATACCATGTATGATATCACATGATATCATAAATAGACCCACTGACTGATTACAAGATTGTAGACAC